TTGATCTACACATGGTAGTCTTTGTCAGCTCAATATTAGGCTCTAGGGAACTGAGGTTCAGACACAGTAAATACAATCCAAAATTACTTGACTTGTAAACATAGAGCTAGTTACACCTGAGTAGCTCTGACCCTGGAGATCTTATTTGTTTCCACCCTTCTAGGTTCTCAGAGCACAGTGCAGAGTGAGGCTAGTTTGCAAGGCTTCTTATTCCAGGGTCTCTTGGTCAAGCCTCTGCACTGTCAACCTCACAACCCATGCTTCAGGCACATTAGGCTCCCTGCATTTCCTCTACTGCAGGGCTGGACTTCACTGTATTCTCCTTTTTCAGGACTTTGGACACAAAGTTCTCCACGCCTTCAAATCTCTTGTCTTTTTTCCTAGTTACAAATCTTGATGGTTTTCGTAGTGAGGCTTTGAGAAATCATGGAATGAGTTTAGGATGAATGACAAGGGGAGTCTGGGTGTCACATAAGAATGAAATTCTGCATCTTCTCTCATCAAAGAGAACCTGGATACCAACAGATGGGCCAATCCTGTGTCTTCCTCTCTGTTCAGAAGCTGCCAGGAAATCAAGCAGGAGATGACTAGTGCACAAGGTGAATGATGAAGCATTTAAAGAACACAATGTAATCTTAACACTTGGGAGCCCAAAGCAGAGGATTGAAAGCTCCAAGGCAGCCCGGGGAGACCCTTTCTCAAAAATAAAACAAATAATCCAGTTAGGAAATCAGGTTTTTGTCCTTTGGAACACCTTTTCTTTTTGATATAGAATATGTGATAGAATGTACATAATGGATAAAAATTGCCACTTAACCAATTTGAAGGGTTTTCAGAGTCAAGAATGACTTTCACAATGGTATGGATGACCACTATCCATCTCCAGAAAGTTTTCATTCCTTAAATAGAAATTATGCAGCCACAAAGTAATAAATTCCTATGTTCCCTATGAATTGCTGTTCTCTTTACTACTTCTATGAATATGTCAATTCTTGTTACCTCATATGGGTAATCTGCCTTATTTCATTAGCATACTTCAATGCTCATATATGTTGAGGAATACTTAATTTATTTTAAGAGTATTATTATTATTATTATTATTATTATTATTATTATTTAGATGTGCATGTCTCTGTGTGGGCATGTGTATATATACATATATGTGCAGGTATGCAGGTACCTTCAGAGTCCAGCAGAGGCCATCTAGTCCTCTGGAGCTGAAGTGACAGGCACTTGTACACTAGCAAGTGTGAGTGCTGGGAACCTAACTCAAGTCCTCTGCTAGAGCAATACTTGGTCTTAACCATGGAGCCATTTCTGCAGCCCACTTCATTGTTTTTGATCTCTTGGATGTATAGGAATGTACACAATATATAGTCTGCATATTAGACAGCACAGAATATATTGCTTATTCCTTTTTCTGAAGAGAAATACTTGGATTGTTTCTTCCTTTCAGGTTTTGGGTCCAGAGCTGTAATGAACATGAATGTACATAGCTGAGGTCCTGTTCCTAGTTATTTGGGTATCTGCTGAGTGGAGTTGCAAAGTCCTTTGATAATATTTATGTTTTACTTTAGAAATAAATCACTGTCAGTTTGGATAATTCTATGTTCAGCTTCAGTCACAGAAGCATGGCTTTCTGAACTCATGCAGATTCCCAGGGACACCTGTGGCAGGAAACTCAGGATTTTTTTTTTTTTTTTTTGGTTTTTCGAGACAGGGTTTCTCTGTGTAGCTTGGCTGGCCTTGAACTCACAGAGATCCACCTACCTCTGCCTCCTTAGTGCTGGGATTGAAGGTGTGTGCCACCACCCGCCCAGTAACATCAGACACCATTACCTCTTCCTCTCTACCTTTTTTTGAGATAGGATTCCTTACTGAACATGGAATTTGCTGTTTTCAGCTAGACTAGGTAGCCAGCAAGCCTCCAGGGTCTGTGCCTCCCCGGCACTGGAATGAGTAGACTTCACAACCACTCCCAGCTCTTTACATGGGTTCTGATCCAATGTGGCTCCTCACGTTCCTTTTGCCTACATGTTGCTAACATGATGAGAAATGGCTAGAGAGCTGCTGAGGAGGTTCAGAGTGTCCAGGAGCTATAAAGGGGCACAAAACAAGGACTGCAATGGGGAGTGGAGAGGAGAGAGTGGGGTGCCGAGACTGGAGAAAGAAGGAAAGAAAACAGAAATCTGCCAAGAGTCAGAGGGAGGAAATACAGGCCCATTGCCGGCAGACCGGGAAGCTGGCAAGATACCCTCGGTCTGACAGGGTAGCGCTGCCAGCAGCTAGGCGAGGGTCCCGATACCCAGGGCCCCACACAAGCAGCTGAGTGTGAAACCTAGAACCTCTAACCCAAGCACCTGCAGCCACTAGTCTGGCCCTGGAGCCTGTAGCATAGGTCCCTATTCCCAGGGCTTGCAGCTGGAAGGCTCTGAGTCTGTCAGCACAGCCTAGAAGCAAACCTTTGACACCCAAGGGCCCAGGTCTTCAACACTAGAAACACTCCTCCTTGCCGACTCATCATGGGTAGAGCAACACAAGCCAGCTTTATGAATAAGGGGATAAGCTGTACTGGTGTTAACTAAAACTCCCAAACCTTGGGGAAAGCTACACTGTTGTTACACATTCTACAGGCTGATTATAACCTCACTAATTTCACAGAGTTGGAATTATCTTGGGCTAGATATCTTTAGCTCTTCAATTAGCCACCTATGCCCACCACCAGTGCATGTGTGACCTAACTAACATCTTTGACACTCTTAGGTAAATACTAAGAGGCTACGAATAGAATGTGAGGTCCATAACAGGGGCCTCCCACTTGCTGTAATCCATCTACCTGAGGTTTCCACCAAGGCACATATATATGTTTTTCAAGACAGGGTTTCTCTGTGTAGCTTTGTGCCTTTCCTGGAATTAGCTTTGGAGACCAGGCTAGCCTCGAACTCACAGAGATCCACCTGGCTCTGCCTCCCTAATGCTGGGATTAAAGGCGTGCGCCGCCGCCGCCCGGCCTATTTTATTTATTATGTATACTGTGTTTGGCCAGCATGCCAGAAGAGGGCACCAGATCTCATTACAGATGGTTGTGAGCCACCATGTGGTTGCTGGGAATTGAACTCAGGACCTCTGGAAGAGCAGCCAGTGCTCTTAACCTCTGAGCCATCTCTCCAGCCTCTACCTTATCATCTTTAACCTGTTGCTACAAGAACTCCATAAATCTGAGGTGAACTGAATCTGTTCCTGTGCCATAGTCACTCATATTTGGTTTCAGAATAAACACTCTCATTTGGTGATTGGCTGACATTTGTCTAGAGGTATCTAAAAAAGAAATAGTTGTGTGCTAGACTCAGGGACATCTGGCGATCTTATCTAACCTTATCTAATGGTTGGAGTGTTTGGGATATCAGGTACTTCCCTTTAGATGTAGGCCCTCCCTGGGTAGGGTCAGCTTATGGCTTTTCCTGGGTCTGGCTGTTGCCAGCCCGTAAGCCTGTCACAGAAGCTGTGTCTGGGCCTCTCAGCCTGTCATGGCAGCTGTGTGGTCAAGCTGTTTTGGGCCCCTCACACCTAATCCTTATGCACAGGGCAAAGATGCTCCAACTATCCTAACAAAGATACAGGCATCTTGAAGACCATCTTGTAATCTCGACTGGCTCTCACTTCCGAGGCCTGGCACAGGTGTTCTGTCTCCCCCAGTCCTGGGATCCCCACAACTTTACAGATGGACCACCAATTCTGTGCACACTGCAGCTCCGACCCACTGGAGCCTATAGGGACTGCGGGGACAGGAGCCTGGCCCCCCGGCTCGGTCCTGTCTCAGGCTCCCTGATACAGGCCTGCCACCTCCCCGAGAACTGCCTCACCGTGACGCAGCCAAAGCCAGAGACGCTGCGTGAAAGTTCCAGCAAAGAGGCCGAAGACAAGGAGGGAACCGAGCCGTGGAGCAGCCAGATTGGGCGCACGGTGAGTGACGACATCACGGCGCGAAGCGATTGGCCGGCTTTCGGTGACGTTTTGGGCGCGCCCGCGAGCCTAGCCTAGGTGCTACGGGATTGGTTGGCATTAGCATGGCGTCATCGGGGCGCGCCGGGAACGCCCAGGATGCATGACTCTGTATCTGTTGACTGAGGATAAATGGCCCCGGCTGCCGCGGGTGCGATGCTACGCTTTCCGGACTTGCGAGAAGTCGGGTGGCACGCGGAGATTGGGCCCGCGGTTCCTACTGTGGTGGCGCCGGGCTGACCACGAAGGACCCCGCTTTCCTGTTTCCGCCGCCGTCTCCATCTACTACCCCGGACAGGTACCTGTGTGTCTTTGTGGGTCGCGCTGAACCGGGGTCACAGGTGCTGCTGAGGAGGGGGGTCACAGGAGCTGGTGAACCAGGGCCTGGCGTCTCCGCGCTGTGGCTTCCCGGGCCAGGGCAGCAAGAACTTAGCGTCTCAGCGCAGTGACATCTTAGATTCCCAGGTCAACTGTCCTGAGCTGGTGTCGTGGGCCAGGTGTGGTGATGCAGGCCTGTAGTCTCTGCACTGGGGAAGTTGGGCCATTATTAGATCGCAAGTTCCAGGCTAGCCTGAGCTAAGTAATGAAGACTTTTTCTCAAGAAACAATGTACCGGTCGGGCACGGTGGTTCACACCTTTAATTCTAGCGCTCCCGGAGGCAGAGGCAGGCAGATCTTTTGAGTTGATGGTCAGCGTGGTCCACAAAGTGAGTTACAGGACAGCCAGGGCCACATAATATAGACTGCCCTCCCCCTAGAAAGAAAAGAATCAACCGATGGTCATTTGGGAATAGTATCAAGTTCTGGTAGCTTTGTTTGTTTGTTTGTTGAGACAGGATTTCCCTGTGTAGTTTTGGTGCCTGTCCTGTAGACTAGGCTGGCCTCGAACTCATAGAGATCCACCTGGCTCTGTCTCCCGAGTGCTGGGGTGATGATGATGATGATAATGATGATGATTATTATTATTGGCTTTTTGAGACAGGGTTTCTGTGTGTAGCTTTTCGCCTTTCCGGGAACTCACTTGGTAGCCCAGGCTGGCCTCGAACTCACAGAGATCCACCTGGCTCTGCCTCCTGAGTGCTGGGATTAAAGAGTGCTGGGATTAAAGGCGTGCCTCACCGCCGCCTGGCTCTGGTAGCTTTGAATAAGTACATTTCATAATGTGGATTTTGTTGTGTATGATGCCAAAAGATTTTCTAGCCAACAGGAATGAGAACCAGCAGTTAGCAGTTAAATGCACCAGGAAGGGAAGAGACGAGGGCTGGTGGAGGCTGGCAGGTGGTCGGGATGGTGTTTGAGAAAGTGACACTGCAGATTGGTCCTTGCAAGGCAAATAGATGTTTACTGAGGCCAGAGAGTTCAAGCTAGGTTCTAGATTAGAAGTTCCCAGGTTCTAGATTAGAAGTTCCCAGTGGAGAAGAGAAGTGATAGAAAGACATTAAGAAGGTCTTTGGGGGACTTGAACACTGGAAAGTGCAGGAGTTTTGAGCCATTTGATGGATGACAGGACATAGAGGAGACTTGGACTTAAGTCTGGTCCGTCTCCAGGATGCCAGTCTTTCTAGTCGTCTGTTTCTTGTGGTTTAATTAAGGGCTTGTGCCTCCTTCCCTGATCAGCTCTGGCCTGATACCATTAAGTAGTGAGCACAGAGTACCATTCAATGCATAAGGGAGTAAGAGGCAAGGGACAGACTCCACTGGGGAATGTAGTCAACTAATGTCATTTGGCACCTGGGAACAGACTCTGTTGATGTCAACAAGTGTACTGGGGAGATGAAATTGCAACTGAAATCCAAGCAGTTTCAGGGGCAGCTATGAGTTGAGTATGGAAAGCACTTCTCATTCTCACCACATTTGTTTTGTTCTTGCCAGAGTTGGGGATTGGACTCAGAACTTCCCCTTCCCACATGCTGGCCAGACATTCTTTTATAAAGCTAATAACCTCAGATGTCATTCCTCAGAAGCCATCCACCCTTCCCTTCCTCCCTCCCCCCCCCCTGCCCTGAGACAGGGTTTCTCTTTGAAATAGGATGATCTGCTGGGCGGTGGTGGCTCACGTCTTTAATCTCAGCACTCGGGAGGCAGGGGCAGGCAGATCTCTGTGAGTTCCAGGCCAGCCTGGGCTACCAAGTGAGTTCCAGGAAAGGCACAAAGCTACACAGAGAAACCCTGTCTCAAAAAACAAAAAACAAACAAACAAAAAAAAGAACCCCGGCTTTTTTGTGTTTTCAATGGGGAGTGATGATTAGCTTTAATTGTCAACCCAACATAGCCTAGAAGCGCCTGAGAAGAAAGTCTCAATGGAGGATTGGGTGTCCACATTGGGTTGGCCAGTGAGCATGTCTTGGGCTGGGGTGTGGGTGTTGTCAAGTTAATTATTTGGGAAGACCCAGTATACTATGTGTGGCACCAGTCCCTAGGCAGGAGGGCCTGAACTCTATGGGAGTGGAGACATGGAGTTGTGCCCAAGCATGTGTGCTGCTAGCATTTATTCATTCATTCCTCTCTGTTCTTGACTGTGGATGTGATGTGACTGTTGCAGGTCCCTGCCACCCAGGCTTCCTTACAGTGATGGGACCATAAACCTGGAACTGAGCGAAAACAAACCCTTTCTTCCCGAAGTTGCTTTTTGTCAGGGTATTTTATCACAGCACCAAGAAGGTCTCCCAGAGCTGTCCAGGCTGGCCTAGAGTTTGTGTGATTCTCCAGGCCCAGCCTTTAGAGTGGTTGGAGTGACAGGTCTGCACCACCTAGCCTGGCCTGGGAATCTCAGGATGCTTTGAAATGTGGCTTTCCTGGAAACCCCGTGGTTAGGACGGGCTTTGTAAACTAGGACCTGAAGGGACTAGACAGTAAGGGTTTGGCTCTTGGGCTGGGACTTGGTGTTTATGAAGAAACTCCCAGTTGCCTCTCTGCTGAAATCTTGAGGATTTGTGACTTGGCCCCAGGATGATTTGGACATCCCATGCTCCCCACAGAGGGAGTCTCTTCATGCTCATTGGCCACAGGTTACAGGTCCTGGTGACTAACTTGGGGCCTCATTCTAATTCCCACAGGTGAATCTTAAATACCTGTGTTTTGGACGCTGTGTTCACAATGGAGTTTCCTGACTTGGGGAAGCACTGCTCAGAACCGACTTGCAGGCAACTGGGTAAGACCTTTCAAGGGCTCCTTCTAGGAGACAGTATTTCACCGGCCATTTGTGAGGGACATCTGGCTATTAATTACATCATTAACTAACTAGTTGGCCTCTGTCCTAGTTCCTGGCTTCTCAGCATGAGGACTCCAGTACAGGACATGGGGTCTGCATGCAGTTTAACATCCACCTAAGGCCAGGTGAGGCCACCAGGGCTATGCAGACACAGTATACAGCTTGGATGATTGGCACCACAGAGATGGAATCTGTGTTGAAGGTAGCTTTGTCTTTGTGGGTCCTTGGGCATCTCTTGGCCTTACTACATCTCTAGCTTTGGGATTGGGGTTGTGGCTCAGTTGGAACAGTGCTTTACCGAGCATGTATGAAGCTCTGGATTCCATCCCAGCACCACATAAAACCAGTGTGGTGGCTCGTGCCTGTAATCCCAGCACGGGAAAGTCGCAGGCAGGAGAAACGACATTCAATGTCCTCCTAAGCTACCTATGAGTTCTGGGCCAGCCTGGACTAAATAAGACCCCTGTCTCAATTTCTTTTTTTTCTTTTTTAAATCTCTCTTAAAGGAATGAATAGTCTAATGTAGATACGTTCCTGCTTTGAGTGGTATATAATTCTTTGGTTCCAGTCTTTCAGATGATTTACTGTTTTGCTTGATTTTTGTTTTTTAGATTTTTTGCCAATAACATGTGACGCATGTAAAGAAGATTTCTGTAAAGACCATTTTTCCTATTGGGGTCATAAGTGTCCCTGTGCATTCAAGAAGGTAACTCATCATCCTGGAGTCTAGACTGCATGCACCACAGCTGTTCTGTCCAGTTGTTCTGTGCAGGCCAGAGGATGGTCTATGTCAGCCATGCTTTGAGATTGGAATGAGTGGGTTTATTAAGTGTATAGCCGGCCAAGGTAAAAGAGGAGGTAGTGAGCCAGAGCTGGAAGAAGGGGAGATGGATGGATGGGTGGGTGAATAGTAAAACATCCTCCAGTGGGGCACTCGAACGTCCAGCAGAAACAGACTGGGGAGGTCGAGGGAGTCAGCTGGAGTTCCCACGGCAGGCACTTTGTTATCACAGGGTGAGGGAGTCAGCTGGAGTTCCCACGGCAGGCACTTTGTTATCACAGGGTGAGCAACGGTCCCTCTGTTGGAAGTGCTTTCCCTTCTAGCTCTTCTCCACGACATGGTGCTTTTATTCTCGGTCTGCATCACTCATTGTTCTCTTCTCCCTGTCACAGAGTCAGGGGACTGACTGACCCACCCCCAGCCAAGGTGTCTTGGAGGACACTTTGAGACAAACAGGATCGGGTTTCAATGGGGTAGGGATGGGTTGCAGCATGGCTTCCAGAGCTAGCTTCTCAGTGAACTCATTGACAGCTTAGCAGTATAGTGTACCGTCAGTACAGTGGATGCCAGCCACAGAGCTGCTTATATTAGTGAGTTTTATTTATTTATTTTATCGTTTACTTATTTGTTTAGTTTGGTGTTTTGAGACAGGGTCTCACGTTGTAGCTCTGATGGCTTCGAATTTGCTTTGTCAATCAGGAAGGCCCTAAACTCACAGAAACTGTCTGTCTCCTTAGTGCTGGGATTAAAGGTGTGTGCTACCACACCCAGCTGCTTTCCACATTTTTTTTTTAATTTATTTGTTTTTACTTATTTCTATTTATTTATTTTTATTAAGAGATTTTTCTATTCATTTTACATATCAACCTCAGATTCCCCTGTCCTTCCTCCCACCCCCCAGCCTTTCCTCCCAACCCACCCTCCACAGTTTCAGGTTTTTTATTTTTTCTTTTCAGATTTGAAACACACACACAAACATGGCACACATGCACATACAATTCCATGTCTTTGGGATAGGATTCTGTTTACTCATGTCTCAGATATTTTTTTTTATGCACACCATCTGAAGATGATTTTACATGGTATTTTCAGTGTGTCTGCATTTTAACTGTCACACAAGATCAGATATGAGATTTTTCCATTTGTAACATGTTGGAAGTCAAAAAGCTTGGACTTGCGTGTATTTGGATCTGGGATTTTTGGATTGAGGATGCTTAACCTGTATTTAAAAATCCAGATCTGGCACATTTTTTGAAACAAGGTCTCTTACTGAATCTGGCCAGCAAGCCCCAAGATCTTCCAGTCTCTGCCTTGCCAGCATTGAAATTACAAATGCATACTGTCAGCTGGGCATATTGATAGCACATGATGTCACTGATAGCTGATAGGCTGAGGCAGTCGGATCTCTGAGTTCAAGGCCAGTCGGGTCTACAGAGCAAATTCAAGGACAGTAAAGAATACACAGAGAAATCCTGTCTCGAAAACAAACAACACAACAAAATTAAATGCAAGCACCTGGCTCTTACATGGGTCCTGGGGTTTGAAGTCGGGTCTCTGAGCTGTCTCCCCAGCCCTCTTAGGCTGGGCGTCTAAAGGAAAAAACAACTGTGGAGGGAGATGAGCAATTTTTTTTTTTT